CAGTTTAGTGTCACCAGCAAACCTGCTGAGGGCACGTTTGATCCCTTCCTCCAGGTCATTGATAAACAAGGTGAATATTGGAGAGTGGACCCAGAGCTGATCCCTTGGGAACACCACTGACTGCAGGCCTCCAGCTGGACTCTGYTCCACTGAWTGTGACCCTCTGAGCTCTGCCTTCAGCCAGGTCTGGATGCACCTCAGGGTCTGTTCATCTGACCCACATTTCCTGAGCTGATTTGCCAGGCTGTCATGGCAGAYAGAGTCAAAAGCCTTGCTGGAGTTGAGGCAGACAGCATCCATTGCTCTCCCCTTGTTGACCCATCCTGCCATGCCATATGAGATTGGTCCAGGCCTTTGTGAATCCATCCTGACTATTCCTGTACTCRTGACAGCCTTCTTGTCTTCTATGACCTTTTTGATGAACTCCAGAATGATCTGTTCCATCACCTTTCCGGGAATTGAGGTGAGGCTGACTGGCTGATAGTTTCCCCAGTCTCCTTGCCATTTGTGAAAATGGGAGTGGAATTGGCCTTCCTTGAGTCATCAGGCGCATCTTCCCTTCTCCATGGTTTTAAAGATGATGGAGAGCAGGAGAGTAACAATATCAGCCAGCTCCCTCAGCATCCATGGGTGCATCTCACCAGAGCACATGGATTTATGGTGTTAAATCTGCRTAGAAGATCTCTAATACAGTCCTTGACAGCCTTCCTTTCTCCAGCCTTYCTCTCTTGCCTCTGAGGTCTGGGACTCCTGAGGGCCAGTCTCAGCCATAAAGACAGGCAAAGAAGGCATTCAGTAATTCTGCCTTCTCTGTGTCTTCCATCACCAGAATGCACCTTTGATTCACCAAGTGGCCCTGCATTTTCACTGATCCCTGCTGATCAACTTGTAGCCGTTCTTCTTGTTGTCCTTGATATCMSTTGCCAGACTCATTTYTAAGTGGCCTTTGGCCTTCCTCACTGTATCCCTGAAACTTTGGCAATGTTCGTATTGTTCTCCCATGTGGCCTGTCACTTCTTCCACATCTAGTGTATTTCTTTCTTGAGTTTGAGATTTACTAGGAGTTCCATGCTCATCCATTCAGGTCTCCTACCCTGTWCACCCAATTTCTTTATCATGGGAATAAAGAAATGGCCTAGAGCTTGGAGAGTACTTTTAAGAAACCTTGCAAAAGCAGGTAGCAGCAACAAGTAAGAATTACATTTCACCAGCAGATTCCAGGCACAACCTGCATTTAGTATTTTAGTGTTCTTCCATCACTATGYTATGGGACTGGTTCTTGATTTTTAKTAGGCATACAGTTGTTTTGACAAGTAAAATGGAAATMTATTGTGTGTTACAGCAGCTGATACTTTTTAACATTTGTGGCTATTTTTATGACAGATTTCAATGAAAAGAACAAGAAAAGTTGCTGACATTTCTTTTAATTTCTTAATGTTTTTCAGGACTGCGTGTTACACAGGAGTCTCATTGGTGATCTGAAAACATTCATGGATAAATACGGGTTTGATGTACTTGTCATTTTGGCCAATGGTTTGTCAGATGAGAAGCAAACAAAACAACAMATAGTGGTATACTCAGAAAATGTAGAGCTAGGCAATCAAGTAAGTACCTGGAAAAGGAAGCAGATGTTTTTCCTGGAAGAAAATGTTGCATTTTCTAAAATAGTCTTTACTAATAGGTGTTGATTAAGTGAGGTCAAAATGTAGCAACAACAGACCAACAACTCAGCAGYTGTTAGAAATGGCTGCATTATTTATATGATACGAAATGAAAGATTGATATTTATTATTGCTTCAGACCAATCTAACAGAAAAAGTGTATGAGAAATACTGAAAGAAGCAAGATTTTTCAGTTCAGTGAAAAGGATTCTTTTTGCCACTGGTTTGGCTTGGGTTTGTATTGTGGTCTATACAGACGATGCGGCAATAAGTGATGAGTAAGCAGATTGTAAAAGGGAATGACCAGAACTCATAGATGTATTTGTTATTCCTAAAGAATTCAAGCTCTGAAATAAAAACAAATTATTACTATTGTATACACTTATCCACAGCCAGGTACTGTCCATTTTTTTAAACTGTATTTATCCCCAGACAGAAGAAACCATCTCAGTGGCAACTTTTTGAGTTTTTTTGTCAGTCTTGAAAACTTGTGACTCTGTTGTTTTCAAGATTAATATAAATGCATTTATTAATATAATGACCACATTCTAGAAATACATTTCTAATGTATCATTACCTGAATTTTACTCAGATTTCTTAAGGGAACAACCAAACATTTATTTGGATTTTCTGTTGTTATCAAGAAGTGAAGTGAAAAGTCCRATAGTGTAATTTCTGACCAGTATTTTTGGAATCCACATATTTTGTCTTGATCTTTTATTATAATGTATGATCTATTTGAGGATCATAATGAGGTTGCTAGAGCAAAATGGCCAAGCAATAGGTTAATACAAAAAGATAGGTATGGCTGTATTACATGATGAGGTGGTCAATATTTGCCTTTATGCCCATAACTGCAGTGACTTCTGAAATATCCTGTTTCTCAACAGATCTGCTGTGAATTAGAAGAATGTCAGAATCCTTGTTTGGAGCTGGATCCTCTAGAATGTGAATGTGACCAAATTCTCATTTATCAGCAAGAAAATTCTTTGGTGACTTGTGATCAAATTATTCTTCTAATTAAGGAAGTTATAAATAGAAGGCAACCAGAAATGGTATCAAACAGTAGAACTTCTTCTACTGAAGCTGTTGCGGGAAGTGCTCCGCTTTCGCAAGGATCTTCTGGTATTATGGAGTTATATGGYTCTGACGTAGAACCACAGCCCAGTTCTGCCAATTTTATAGAAAATCCTCAAGATCTAAATGGGTCTATGCAAGCCCACATTGATGTTAATGTAGAYCTTGTAAGTCCAGACAGTGGCTTGGCTACCATTAGAAGCAGCCGGTCTTCCAAGGAGAGTTCTGTGTTTCTCAGTGATGATAGCCCTGTGGGAGAAGGTGCTGCATCTCATCACAGTCTTCTGCCTGGTTTTGATTCCTATAGCCCTATTCCTGAAGGAGCAATAGCTGAAGAACAAAAGCCTCAGTCAGGAAACCATCGTGATAACTTCGATCTTTTCAATTTTGATCTAGCACCCATGGTTACAGCTCCATCTGAGTCATCTTCTCGTTCTGTTGATTGCTCCCCAGCAGATGACTATTTTCTCAATAGTGACTCTTCAGAAGGGCATCAACTCACTCCAAAGAAAGAGCTTGATGAGGCAAACCTGTTAGAAAATGATACAGCAAATTATTCAACTGACTTACTTAGGACAAAAATTGAGGAACACAATCTGGCTGAATTTGATGAGAATCCAGGAGAAATGTGTAAGAAAACTTCAAGTTTGATTGATTTAGTTGAAGGTGATTCTTCTTCACCAGAAATGTTGAAATCTGCTGATTCAAGAATTCCACCGACTCCTATGAATAGTCTTGTAGATACTTCACCATTAGATAATGGGCAGCCTTTAATTTTCCCACAAGACGTCATTAAAAAAATTAATGAAATAGAAGGCGCAAATTATTCTCAGTCTCGAGTTAGATATGGAAGCTGGTGGGATGGCTTTGACCTCGATTCCAGAAATGCTGATGCATGGAGTTCAAGTGAACAGGAATCTGTATTTCAGAGTCCTGTCTTATGGAAAGATTCTAAAGAAAGTCCTTTGCTACGAGAACATACTGATAGAAGGGCCTCAGATTCTGTATTCCTCCAAAAACAGCCAAAGCAAATGGAATATATGAGAYCAGGTCTGTGGGATAATCAGTTTAAGCAAGATAATTGGAACCATGAGAATCAGGAGAAAAACAGTGAACATTCAAGTTTGCAAACTGCTGCTTTAGACGAGACAAAGCAAGAACCGGAGAGCTTTACAGACCTGTGGAAGGTCAGCCAGCCAACACCTGTGATGCCAGATGCATGGTATAGTGGTAAAGGAAAAGATAGTCAGCTAGGTGGAGATTCKTACAGAATCTGGACTGAGTTTGAAGGGGATGCTGGTAGATCCTCAGAAAATGTGTGGAATATGCCGAAACTGGATAGAGAATTAAAATCAGTCAATATTCCTGAGGAATGGGCCATATCAAAAACTGGTTTATCAGATTCTTCAGAATTCACAGTGGACAATGAGTCTGAAAATCCAGAAGCCTGGGATAAACGAAGATATTCAGTAGAAGACTGTGGAAAATCTGAAAATACAAATTCTGTTTTCAACAATATGCAAAACAATTCCAAGCTGAACACAGGAGATAAAACTGTGTTTGGTGACCCTAAACATAGGCCAAAACAATTTGAAAATATAGATTGCTGGARTATGTATGATAAAAACATCAGGAAAGAAGTAACGGAAGTAGTGGTGCCATGGGAGGATACCTTCTTATACAAAGACTCAGATCTTAATTCTTCAAATATAGCGGAGGATTTAGTTGTTTCTCCACCGGACACCAATTACTCAACATCTGATTCATACATATCACCTACATATGTGGAAGATGAAAGAGAGAATGAGGACAAGGATTTTGATGAAGAAACAGTTACTGGTAAATTCATGAACACAAATTTGGCTGAGTCAAAAGTACTTGATAAGGAACCATTATCTCCTAACAGTGTGCCTTTGCCAAGCACCAGAAACACAGATATCTGGAACACTCCTCTAAATAACATCACACAGTTACAAGAAAGAAATTCTGAAATTGCTGTTGTTTCTGCCTCTCTTAAACCTTTTCTTAATTCAGAGAAAACAGCTAATACTCATTTCTCAAATGAAATATGTGCCAGTGAAAATAATTTTCTTGTATCTGAAAACAGAAGAGTACCACTGGCATGCAATCAAACAGTGAATAACTTATCACCATCACAGAATGAATTAAATACTAGGCAGACAGCAGCTGAAAATGCAGAAACAGTGGGCAGTGTTCCTGTAGAAGACACCAACACCTCTACACCAACTTCAGACACTGAGAAGGGTTTGGATCTGAAGACAGATGACATAGGGAGTGAGATACTCAACAAGAATGCAGCACAAAACACTGCTGGTGTTGATGACGAGYGGGATAGTCAGGATTCAGTGCAGCAGCTGAACTCATGGGGTTTACAGAGTGAGCAGGGCTGTGAGGAAGGCTGGGATAATGCCAYTGTCATCTCTGAGGAAAGAAAAGAATGTAAGAGAACGCATGAGACAAGTAGACAGCAGATGATTAATGACATTTGTAATAAACCAGTGCAAGAGGACAATGAATCTTCTGGTAAAACAGGTTTGGAGGAAAATGAGTCAACATTTGAAGTTTCCACCTTGCCTGAAAAACTGAAAAATAGTGTTAGTTTGGAAGTGTTAATCTCAGAGAATGAGTCATTTTCCAATCAAAGCAATCCACTTAGTCAAGAAGAGAGGAATGACATGCTGCAGAATAGTTTAGATTCATTTTCAAGTATTTCTGAAGGAGGCAGAAATTACGAATTTTTTGATGACCCTTTACCACAAAATTACAATTATAGTGAAATGTCAGAGCTGCTTTCTGAGGGAGCTGAAAAAGAGGCTATAGTGATAGAGGATGCAGCAAGTCCCAGGATGGAAGGTATTTCTGAAAGTTCTGATAAGGGTAGTGATAATTCTGAAAATAGTTCTTCTAAAATGCCTGGAAGCTCAGGCATCTGGAATGACTCTGGAATGAATGGTTGTGACCAAGCCACATTAATTCCTTTGATGGACAAATCACAAGAACCTCTGGGAGTAGGGAAAGAATGCTTACCTGAAGTGACATTTAACCATCCAGGCACTTGTAATTCTGAGWTAGTGTCTTTCAAAACTGACTTGGAACTGATGAGGACTGATGAAAACTCTTTCACAGATGAGTTTAAGAATAATCCTTCTGGATTTGTTAGTGTTCCTGACATTACACATATGTCTGTGGTGGAAAATTCATTTTCACTTGAAATAGGTTCTGGGAGAAATGAAAGCTCTGAGAATTTAGAACCTGCTAATAACCTTTGTGGAGAGCCACTTGCAGTGCTTAATGACARTTTTCCCCAAACTGATTTGGATTCACAGCCATGTGAAGATTTGCAATCTCCTGGAACAAGTCCTGAGGCAAGTGAAGTCCTTGAAATAGCAAATACCACAAGCAGCCTTTCAAAAGATATACAGATCAAAAGCTATTTGGAAGAAGATAATGTGTGGAGTAATTCAATAAATGATTATACACACTCAAGTGGAACAAGTCCTGATTCAAGTGATGCATCTGTGAACGTGTGGGGAGAACTTCCAGTTGCCAGTCATCACAAAAGCAGCAGGGATATATTGGAAATCAAAAACAATAAAAATCTTGAAGATTCTTGTAGAAACAATGAATTTGGGAATGAAGATGAAGGAAGATTTGAAACWAGTGGTGAAGAGAACAAAATTCCTAAAAGCTTAGATTTTTGGAATGCCCATGTAGATGACGATACTGTATCTTCTTTATCGAGTCCTGACGTAAATGAGGATTCAGAGAATTCAGAGGCATGTCCAGAAGTGATTAATGAAGATTCAGGGTGTGAAAACAAACAGCTCACAGCATCTGAAAATGGAGAGAATTATGTTCAGTCCAATGCAGCAAGTCCTGAAGCAAATGAAGACAATTTAGGTGCAAAAACTAAGGTGGCAGAGAAGGTCCTGGTAGGCATCTTCAATGAAAATTCTGAAACAACTGAAGACAGGATGGTATTGCAGGAACATGTGACTACCGACTTTATTGACCATAATAAGACTAATGAGTATTTAGGCCACTGTGAAACACTTGAGGAAAGAACTCAGGTGAGTATTTTCAATGAAAATACAGACAGTGAGGAAGTCTCATGTTTATATCAAGTGAATGAAGATCCTACAATGACTTCTGCTGCTAATGATGAAGAAGAGTGTTCTTCAAAAGCTGTAGATGGGTGGAGTGTGTCCGTGGAAGCTGATTTAAGAACTGATCCAAAATCCACAGTAGGAACATGTGATTTCCCAGATAACAGTTCAGAATGGTGGAGTTCACAACCTTGTGAAGAAGAACAATTAGATGATCAGCATTCTGTATCAAGTTTCTCAGCACCAAGCCAGTTAGGAAATAGTAAGGAGGACTCCTGTGGCTCCCCTTCACAAGCTGAAGAACCAACAGAAGCACATTTCGTTGATACAGGTAATGATGAAAATCAGCCTGCCCCCCTGTACTCTGATSAAAAAGAAAATGAAAGGCTAGTACATTCTGTTAGTAGTCCTGATGGTCAGATAAATCAAGACACTTTACAGTTGAAACAATTTGATTCTTTTGTACTGGATAAAGAAGAAAGGGAGTTGATAGAGCAGTCATTTTCTACAGATGAGGAAAATCAGCTGACACCACAGAATTCTTTTTCAGATGAAGAACGAGCTATACCAAATACATCCGTTCAAGCCATCACTGTCCTGGATCTACCAAAAGACTATGAGGGAGATGCTAGTCTCATTCCTCAGGGACARCAGGAGGACGCCTGGGAAAGATTAGAAGTGCATAACTCCATGCCAGGTGCTTTCACTGTAGAAGACTTATCTTTTGAAATGACAGAAAAGTCAAGCCCAGAGGTGAATATATTAAAGACCCAAACTGAGCTTATCCCAGATATTTTACAGGATAACACACAAGAAAGTAATCAGCAGTTTTCAGTGGAACCTGACCTGTGGACTAATACTGAGCAGGCTGTCACTTTGAAACCAGATGGTGAAAATCCTGATATTTTAAGTCACTGTGACCAAGACAATGGTTCAGAGTCATCAAGCAGTCCTGATGTGTGCCAGGAATATGAAGCTAAGCATGCCTCTATCCCATCTTCTGAGATTGCAGAGCAGCCTGCAGACAAAGAGCAGCCTGCAGACAAAGACAGTCCAAATATAACTAAAGAGGTAGATTTTGAGTCCAAGCATGAATTAGCTATGCTGAAGGTGGAGACACACTCTGAAAATGGTAGCTCCCAGGACTACGAACCAGTAAAGAGCAATGAATTCTATCAACTTATCTCTTCTAATCCTCAGGAGACTTCTGAATTTGCAATTCCAGRAGAATACAGTCTAGAAAATAAACTGGATTTTGACCCTATTGAGTCAACTGAAATTGCCAGTGAAGTTACAAAAGTGACGTCATTAGCACTGATAGACACATTCCATGGAAGTTTCATTCATCAAGGAACACCAACTGATACAGCTAAAATAGGGACCTCCCAAATGCATCTGCTTCCCATGGATTTCAGTCAACCTGATGGGGCCAAACAAAGCTTAAAAGAAATAAGTGCCTTGGCTGAAGTTGTAAAATATTCTGATACTGACCATACAGCAATAACTGGTGATGAGCTAGACAGGTCAGAAGAAGGTGCCGATGAATCTGACACAGGGATAGAACATGATATCAAGGACACATCAGTGACTAATGTCCAGGCAGACACAAGTGATGGAATGAACATACTGGCACTACCAGGCAGTGAGGCAGCAGAAGGGAAATCAAAGGATGAACAGACATTCTTTCCCGAGTCTTTTGTACCTGATGGTAATGAAGGCAGTGAATCTGATTCAAATAATCAACTGTTTGATGACATAACAAAAGAATACGAAGCTAGAATTGAAAATGATGTTCCTGTGTTTAAGGAAGTACCCGATGACCAATCACCAGAGATCTGTACTCCACTATCCTCTGCATCTTTTGATGCTGAACCCTCTGGCAGCAGAGAGTGTGCAAACAGTGAGCTCTTGTTACAGCAGCCATTTTATGGMAGTGTTTCTTTGAAAAAACGACTGCCACTGCCAGCTCCTTTGGAAGGTGCAGAAGGCATCCTAATGACCAAAGATAAGGTGTYTGAAACATCCACAGAGTGCCTTCAGGAAAATCTCATCTCTGTACCATCGCTCTCCATGTCTGAAGYAACTCCAGCACATTCTGATTTTTGGACAGGAAAATCTGAAGTTGAAACAACCGATCCCGACTCACCACCAGGTGGAGACAGAAGATCGTGTGATGGTAAGAAAAATCTGCTTTCCAGGGGGAGTACATAGAACGGAGAAAGGAGGAAGTGTCTGGAGTATTACTGCTTAGTGAGGAGGCTTTGAGTAAAGTGTGGAGTTTGTGCAAAACGTGTATTATGGAAAGAGCTCTAATGTCATTCTCTCTGACAGATCTAAAGCTTTTAAACACTGAAGTAGAAATATAATTTCTGTTGTTTTTACAGGGCCTAGCCTATGGGACACAGAATTGTTTGTCCCTTGGGAATGGTTGCAGTGTTAATGTATAACCTTTAACAATAATGATGATGGTGATGATGTTATAAAATTCAAATACACATTAACAGAGTGAAGCAAACGGAAAAGAGCTTTATCTCACAGTACTCATTAAAGTATATTAGGGTGACTAAATCAGTAATTCAAAAACTAAACCAAGTTTCTATTTGCATGTTCCTTTAGAAGCTGGCATTGACTCCCTAGTTTGTAGGGAAGAAAAGACGAGAAATTCCCCTATGAGTCCTGAACTGCAAAGTACAGAGAGTAAGGAAGATGTGAGGATGCAGGTGCTCCAAGATCCGGCTTCACTGGAGATGGATTATGTCCTTGTTACTGAGGAAGAAGATACACCTGCAACAAATGATACTCTTGAAGGAAGCAAAATCGATTTTGCATTTCAAGAATCTCACGRAGGCTTTTCACCGGGCTCCTTAGATACCTTTCAGCCAACCTCCATTACAAATGAACGCAAAGATCACCCCACTGGTGGGACTGGATGGGACACTGTTCGCTTGGAAGAGAAAAGGTCATCTGTTGTGCCTCAAAAGCTGGATGGTGAGAGGAAATCACAAGAAATCTGTGGGCAAGATGAAGGTTGGATTATACTGGGCCAAAATGAAGTAAGTGACATATCACCTGAAGAAATTTCTGCCAAGACAGAGATGCTGAAATCAGGGTCTGGATGTCCTGGTGAAGAACCAGCAGCTGTTGTCACAAAGGAATTGATTCTTGGCACTCAGACAGAATTTCAGGTAGAAATGCCCCTTCAGAAATCTTTTGAACATGAAGGCTGTTCTCCTTCAGATGGCCTGACCACCGAGAATGAGAGTTCGGGCATTGCASGAACATCTGTGTTGCACGTGGCTGGTGGTGATAGTGCATGGGAAACAAATTCTCAACAGAGGCTTGGGAATAATGTAGCAATGGAACAAGAAACGAAGGAGGAGACAGTTGTTCTCAACAATGACAGARAATTGAATCAAAGATCAGGGTAAGCAAAAACCAGTCTGTTTTCTTTCAAAGGTTTTCTGTTCATTTGTTATCTGTGTTATTGAAGTGTTTGCCATTATGAGCAGATGGCAGCACAAGTCTGAAGTATGCAGTGTATTTACATTATTTAACTATCACTGYGTTTCTGCCATCCTAAAAATAGCTTCTTGGTTCATGGTTGCTTGATATGAGCCAAATTATGGTTGTTTGCAGTTTGTTTGAAGGTCACTTCCTTGCATTCTGCAAGAAAAGGATAAAATAGTTCTTGGTATAGAATATATATGGTCAATATAGCTTCTAGTTTAGTCTTCTTTCTTATCTCATTTAGAAGTGGTTTAATACTAAATGTCTTTTCAGTCAGAAGCAGTGGCTATTTCTGTCCTTTACACTGCTGATACCAAATCAGTGAAGTAAGGAACTTACGAACTTACTTACTTACAGTAAAGTAAGGAACTTATTCAGCTTCCACATTAACAATTAATTGCGGGAACAGTAAAATCTATTTTCCATTGGGTTTAAGTTTTTTTGTTAGATTTTTTCTTGGTAAGTTGTAAAATCTAATGGAAGTTTTTTTCCAACGTTAATGTTATTAAAAGTATTTAATTCCTCCTCCTCTGTGAGGATTTTGTATGTAATAGAGATTGCTTTTGTGGTGCTGTTTTCCCCTCTGCTTGGTAGCTGATATTCAATAAACTGCTAATCAGATTGTGTCTTTGGTCAGTTGGATACTGACTTCAGACTTCTTAGAAGAAGAGACACATGCATCCCTGAGCATGCCCCACAGCATGATCACGGGGGCCAGGATTACTTTGAAACCAAGTCAAACACACAAAAAAATACTGTGATGAAACACATGCAGAAATAATTATTTCTRGACACTGTGCCCATTTCACGCTTACATAAACAGCTGAAAAAACAGCAACTGACATGGTGGAAATGTGTAATTAGAAATGCTTTCTTAATGTATTTAACTGACAGTTTTAAAAACAGAAGTTCCTTCTTAAAACGTAACTCAGTATGCAGCATTTTACTTTTTAGTCTGAAATAAACTGCCCTTCTTTTTCAATGAAATTTAAAACAGTGTGATGCAGCAGAGCTGCCAGCCCATGGGARGTTAGTGAAGAAACACTGGTGCCATCACATAAGGGAAGATATTAAGAGTTCCCTGATTTTTGCAATACAGTTTCTGGAAGGCACYTGATGGTGTTAGTCATCAGGCTCTGAGTCCACCAAAGATTTCAATCAAATGAGGATGTAAAGAAACTCTTTAGTGTGAGGCACTGAACAGGTTGCCCAGAATAGCTGTGAATGCTCCATTCCTAGAAGTGTTCAATACCRGGCTGGAGGGGGCTTTGAGCAACCTGTTGTAGTAGAAAGTGTCCTGCGCCTGTTAGATGTGTTGGAACTGGGTGATCTTTGAGGTCCTGTCCAATCCAAACCATTCTGTGGTTCTATGATCTTYGAAGAATAAATAAACGAATCATTTGGATTCAAACTCAAACCCAACCAATGAACAACTGAATTATTAGTCTAAAGTTTACGAAGGCCTTTACTTAGTAACTGTGTTCCAATCCCTTTTATATCCATATGTCCCTGTTTAGAAAAAAAAAAAAAAAAAAA